GTAAAAAGATAATGAGGAAGCAGCTATCAAAAGCTGGTTTTGCTTATTTTGAAGAAGGAGCCGTTGATTTGATAAATCCAGAACTAAAACTCAACGAGCAGGCCGAGTATCTTCCATATGATGAAAAGTGGGAATTTTCTAGAGAAAAATTAAAGTTAGGTATGAAACATGAGTTTACCGTGTAGCAATATCTATAATAACCAAATTTAATGGACAAATTGTGATATTTGAGATTACAGGTGAACAGTTGGGAAGTGGAGCTTTTGGGGTTGTAGTAAAAGCAGAAGCTTTTGGCATATGTGCCACGGAGCCTGTTACGAGTGTGGCTGTAAAAATGGTTCACGAAAATGCTGAACCAGTTTATATCCGTGCTCTTGTAAGAGAACTTAAAATTATGATGAATCTGGGGCAACACTTGAACGTAGTAAATCTTCTCGGCGCCTGTACAAAAAATATAGCAAAACGTTAGAATTCTTATGGAATTTTTTATAATAATAGTTAACACTTTTAAATAAAAAGCAATTCGTTTTGCAGGGGAATTTTTAGTGATTCTCGAATCGTGTGCTTATGGAAACCTGAAAGACTTTTTGAGATATCATAGAGGAAATTTCGTAGACCAAATAAATCCATTTACAGGTCATATTGATTCATCTATTAAACAAAAATCCACAAGGTAATTGTTTTATGTTCTTTTTCCTTTAATTAAAATTCGAATTCATAGTAAAATTACAGGCTGCATGATGGCACAATTTTTGTGTCGTCAAACATGCACAATTTTTTCCATCATGATGCAATAAAATGCATGATCAATAGAAGTTATGCGTAAAAAGTAAAAGCAGTATTCTGTTTTGTTTTGAGAAGTACAGTTTTAAATTTTTGTAATGTTTTGTAAGTGTTTTTAGTTGCATCCTCTAGAAGTCATGAACTTGACACATAAAAATGAGGAGGAATATGAGCATAATGATCTTTCAGATTTTTCTAAAAATTGAGCATCGTTAATACGTATTTTGACTTTGCTCTATCAAAATGACATTTCGAGTCGATTTGATAAAATTCATTAATTTTTTTGAGTGGCTATTTACAAGCACTGCGATGACGTTATCAAAGTCCTTTAATGTTTTAATTAGAATTTATAACAAATAAATAACAGTTGATTAAATTATACTTTTTGTACTATGTGAGAAAAATATGACACTGACGAATATATTTTCTTTATTTCTTTCTACTTTAATATACTTTAAAGTTCGTCTTTTTCTACTTATTTTTGATTTAGTAATTATTGTAGATTGAAGCTATTTGTTAATGTAAATTATCAAAAAATCAAATACTGAAAGAAAAATGATAATTGTGAACTGTACGATTTTTTACTATACAGATTATGTTTGAACGAATCGCATACATATATATTTACTCTTTTTGATAACTAGAGCAAAAAACGTGGATTTAGAATCATACAGTCATCTAAAAACGGCATTCAGCAACAGTGATGCAAACTTTCCCTTTAACAAGGCTCAGAACTCCAACGATTCCATTGAGTTCCGTAGTACCTCGTACTGTGATGATTTACAACCAAGTTGGCGTTCTAACTACGAAGGCAATTATCAAAACTGGAATGCTGAATGCATCTGCTCCCATGACCTCCTCTCTTGGGCTTATCAAGTAGCTCATGGCATGGAATATCTATCGAGGAGAAACGTAAGAATATTTATACAAAACAACTACTCGTACATACTTTGTCTTTTACTTCACTAATGTTTCTACGTGTACAGATTTTACATTGTGATTTGGCTGCCAGAAATATTTTGCTATCTACAAATAACATCGTCAAGATTTGTGACTTTGGTTTGGCCCAGACGTTGTACAAAGACATCAATTATACGAGGCTACACGATGTAAAATTGCCGTTCAAGTGGATGGCCATCGAATCCCTCAGGGACGGAGTATTTTCGACTAAATCCGACATTTGGTCATTTGGTATTGTGATCTGGGAGTTTTTTACTCTTGCAGAGACACCATACTTAGGCATGCAAGCCTCAGTAGTATATCAAAAACTCATTAACGGATACAGGATGGGCCAACCAAGATATGCAACAAACTATCTGTTAGTGAAAAAAAGCTCTTTTATGTAAATAGCTTATCTTTCGAATTATTAATATGTTTATTTATATATTTCTCAGTTACAATATCATGCTCAACTGCTGGGAAGACGAGCCAACTTTAAGACCATCATTCACAAAACTATCCAAAAATATTGGTATGCTTTTAGATAAAAGTACGAGAGTGCACTTTGAGAAACTGTACCAAGAGTATGAGAACATTAATAAGGAAGTGGACTTAATAAGAGAAAATGATTATTCGAAAAATATGTCTTCACCAGATAAGGTTGCTCTTGCCCTGCCTCAACAGAACTATGAAAATCGATTGCTGCAGGTTGAAAACCCTATGTACTTGTGTTTAAACAATAATGACAGGCTTTTAGCTGACACACCGAGGAAGTTTGATAACTGTTTATGACAAAATCTTACATGTATGTTTCAAAAAGTTACTCTTGAAAACTATATAAAAATTCTGTAATAAACTAAAATGATATCGTTAATAAGTNAAAAGAAATGGTACCTGATCTGCAGTTAATTTTAACATTTTATTTCTTAGACTACATTAAAATAAGACAAAATGTCACCATCAGCTTATTAAATAAAAGTTTGTAGAGTTATAAAAAAACTGTATTTTTATAATTCTAATTTTGTTTTACTATTCCTAGACTTATAAACAAGTTTATAACAAACAGAAGTTAAAAATAAAAATTTCGGCAGTATAGTTTTATTTAAAAGTATCATATTTTCTCTATCTACATTTTTATGTAAAATTTCGTTGAAATCAGAATATTGATTTTTTAAGAATTTGTCGTACGCGCCACGGTATTTTGTGAACTTCCACGTTACAGTTTTACATTCGGAATCGTAAATTTTTTTAATATTGAATCATTCATCAGTTAATTGTTGCATTTAAAGTTAAAGCATAAATTAAAATCAAACAAGTGCAGTAAGTATTATGTTAAATGTTATTATTTTTGTCAGATATGCCACACATTACTTGTATACATTCCTGATTATGTAATAGCTTTGAACTGTAAAGCTTTAATACTGAGGTAACCTAGTATTTTATTATATGATTCAATATTATCAGATTTTACAAAACACGTTTTTATAACGCTACTTACAATATAATACTACAAAATTAATCGGATTCACAAGCCGGCACTCTATGCATCTTAAGTATAACTATTGCATTTCGTAAGCACGAGTATACTCAATACGCTCTTGTTACGAATTTCGGATAATTTGGCACCAAATTAAATTTAATTTGCACAAGTATGTTTTATATTTCAATTTTTACGTTGCATAAATTATAGATGAGCAAAGTGATGAAACTTATTTTTAATTGACAATTTTGTACGTTTTAGTGTGGCATAACTTTCAAAAGTATATTGGAAAATGTTTATACTCGTTTGTGTGGGTATAATACTATTTTATCAAATGAAGCTTTGGCATTATCATTGGAAATTGTTTTTTATGGTTGTAATTAACAATGTATTTAAAATACCACAATCGAATATTTATTACCTAGTGGATTATTTAAATAATGTTAAGCGCTTAATACTAAAATTGCAGACAATCATTGCATCAAATAAATCAAAGAATATGCAGTAAAATTATTGTAAAATTATTACATCACTTACCAGGCCCTTTTTTTAGTTATTTGAATTGATATTAATTAAATTGTTTTTTCACAAATCCTACACACATAAGTTTATTTATTATTTCATTTTAATCGTTACAAATAATTAGGCTGTCGTATTTATATTCATTACCCCTTTGGTTCTAACCCATATGGTAGGAAACCAAAAAGTCTCACAATTTTTTCGGCAGGTTCAGTTTAACTCGGTTTAATTATAACTATAAAAAATTCTTCTTGATACTCAGGAGGTCTGAAATGGATGTAGAGAATAAATGGATTCGATGTAGTAAATGAAATGGTAGTCATTTACAAAAGTTTTATTTTGTACAGTTCAACGTAGTTACTTTATACAGAAATTATCTTATTATAAAGGATCAGTTTTATAAAATAAATATCATCAAATATTTACATTCTATTCCATGTTAAATTCACATGACTCAGAAAATGTTGAACAAACAATAAATTAAAATACATTTATAAGTAAGAATTAAAAATGAGTATTAATAGATAGTTTTGTATCAATTTGTACCAAAACACGCAGTAAAAGTTAAAATCGATTTTAATTTCGTTAAAAGTGTATAAAAATTAAAAATAACAATAAAAATAATAATACTAAAAAATTTACATCGATTTTTTTTATTTTTATGAATACAAATTTCAAGTAAAAGTAAAAATTTTGCTAAGCATAATAATCTTTGATGCCATGCGTGGTTATACAGCATGGCTTATCAAAGTTTTACATACATACATATATGCACACGCATACCCCGCAACAAAGGTTGTTAAACGTCCTTAAAAATCTTTCTTTCGCTTTACCTCGCACAGTTTACTGTCTTCTTTTGGTGGTTAAAACCAGGACGGTATTGGGCGCTTTCACGACCTTGAAACAGCGGGTGGTGAGCTGTAGTCCAGCTCGGGTCCATCAGAGCTGCTGTTGGGTGGCGTCAGCGGGCAAGCCGCGGTGGCATCCGCATCATCCAAAAGTGAGTCAACGACTGGCTCCTGTGTCTCTTCTACTGGTCCTGAAAGCTGAAACTTGTCAATATGTGTGACATTGACATTTCCAGCGTTTGGCTGTTTGGCGACGGGGCACTGGACTCAGCTGCACTCAATGGCAGCAAAGCCTCCAGTACCTCGCCCTGGTCCATATCATATGTTGCGGCCGTTCCACAGCTGCCGCTGCGAACCCGCTTCGGACAGACGAAGGGATGCTCCTCGCAACTATCCTTCTTGTCCGAACGTCCACGCTTCAGCGAGGAGGTAGAGCTTGCAGATTTCATCTGCAGTCTGTCAAATCTGCGACTCAAGGCCGATGGAGTTGGAACAGCAACTTCGCTGCTTGAGGCCAACTTAACTCTGCGTAGACAAGACTCACGCAGAGTCTTCTCGTTTTGGAGCCACTTTTGTAGTTGGTACCGATGGATATTAAATTTATGAGCGGTTGCGAGCTCATTCTGCTTGCCGTTATAAAAATAAAAATCAAGCACCTTCACTTTAAACGATGGTAAAGTTGCAAGACCGCCACCCATGACAGTTTTTAAATATCCATTGGACGATGAGGTTGCTGCTGTCGGTGTTGGGATTTCGGCTTGCATCTCAGCAGCTTGATGACGGCACTATTCGTGCAAACCACTTCACTTGCTTCCGCAAAAGACATGTTGCTAAGTTTATAAAATTACGGCTCTCACTAAAAACTTTTACGTTTAACTCGAAGCAAGACGTTTACACGAATATAAAATGTAACACCTGAGGTCGTCGTAACTGATACTAATCGTCTCACTCCACTGGTCACTTGTAACTAAAGCTACTGCTGCTACGCTAAGTTGGGCGTACTGCGATAATGACTCACCTCGTTAAACACTAACGCACTGTAGATAGATAACTGATTGACTGGCTAATTGCACCAAGCATAAGTATCTTTTAATTATCAATGTAGGTACGCACGCACTCCAAATGATTAGCCGCTCGGAGAGTTTGGAGAAGCCTCTTTCTCTATTTCCTACTCTACCTCGGCCTATTTTTACTGCAGCCGGCGAGCGTGATAACAGAATAACAATTCAAGCTCGCAGCTTTATCACTGTGTTGCTGCGTTTTGTGTTTCGACACTTTTTGATGCCACTTCTAAAAAAGTTAAAGCTACCAGCTTTTTTTCCTACTCTTTTTCTACTTTTCCTAATTTTTTTGTTTGTTTTTTTTTTTTTTACATTTTCTTGGAACTATCCGAGAAAATAATACAATTATTCACGAGAGCTCGAAAAGCCAGTGCATCGGAGCTATAGCTGGCCTTCTTGGTAGCTGGCATACCTAGAAGGCCGGCTTTTCCCGATTTCTCACAAACACTCGCCTCGCACTACTGGCAGGTAAATTTAATACAAAACAAGCGCGAAGTTAAGACGATCTTTGTACTCCAATAAGATCGAACTTTTTGTAAACAAGCACGACTCTTTCAGTTATTTAAAAATTAAATGAAAAAATTTAATGATTATTTAATAAAAAAGCTTAAGGTTAGCTATTACTAATCGTTCCTTCGTTATTTTACATCTTTGTGCGTTTGGAAAAGCATATACTACCTTAATTACGTTTCTACAAAAATACCTAATCACAGACGATCTTATCGTAAGAATCCATTATTTGTTGGACGATACTTATATTGTACGCCATACAGTATTGCTGTGTTTTCTAATACTCAAGTCAGCCGATATTAATAACACATACTTATTGGAATCACAAGTTGAAAAGTTGTAAACGGACCAGTTGACGACAGAAGATCACGTTACCAAAAAATTCTTTTTTAACAATTTGCACTTAGTTTACCTACAAACTTAAATAAGGGTTTTTGCCTCTATATGAGTCGTAAAGAGTTTTATCGAAATATTAGTATTATCAATCGAAATACTGGTGGATCTTAAGCCACACACAAATACACACGCACGTGCGCGTGCATGCACTGTTATTACTCCTTATTTTTGGCAGTATACCGTCTGATCTGATGTTAATATTTTTAAATACTAGATGTCTAATTTGACCTAGGTGTACTTGGCCCAGAATGTTGCTGTCGTACCTTCTCACTAAACGGTAGTAGGAATCGTAAAAACAGAAAATAACTGCTAGCAATCACTGAACAAATTGATAAAAAAGTGTTAAATTAATGACTTTAGTTGTAAATCCTCTCTATAAAAGTGTTTGTATTGTACTGCAGCTCCTTGTATGGAAAAAATTATAAAAGCAAGGATTTAGAAAGTGTTGCGCATATTATCTGGCAATTTAAGTTATGCAACAAAGAGAGATAAAAACAAATTACGCGAATAATAAGGTTGTATATAAAAAATATTACAGCATGCATGTATACTTTTGTACAAGGTCGATGTTTACATTTAATTATAATTGAAACATTGCAGGACCTTTGTATTTCTGCAGAACGATTGTCGATTCACAGAAATTGCCGACGATGCATTTACACGATACTGTGCAAAGTTTGCGTTCATATTAATGTGTACTAACGTGTGTGACATGCGCACAAGCACGAGGAATAGCGTCGCATCCAATTATTATCCACACAATGGGCAGTTGTACTTCAAAGTTGTGTATCCGTACACGAATGCCAGGGCCGAAGCGCTAATTAGAAAATAATAATTAATTATCTTGCGCAGCTACAGTTATAGAACCGCATGAGAAAAAGTTTTGTCATCAAATGAAACGTTGCCCAAAACTTAAAATGATGATAGTACTACATTTTTTCCTTTCAAAAAGTTTTTATCTGTCGTTGTTAATTGCTC